CAGATCAAAACTGATCATTGGTCTCTTGTGGGAGATAGTTTTGTGATGGTGCTTTGAGATAGGTTTCTACCTGCCATCTGTCACTTAGTAGACACCAGTGACATCCCTTTGCTGTAGCTTTTAGTTTTAGTGAATCGTTTCCATGCAGACGTTGCCCAGCTAGCTCCGTGCTGTACTTGTGGCTCCCCTTGGTGTCTGGTGTGTGAGGGACGCCCTCCAGGGACTGCCCTGCCAATGCGGATGTGCCCGGAGGCAGAGGGTGGGAAGTGGGCATCTCCACGGCGTGCACTAGCTGTTGAGCAGGTTCTGTGTGTGCATGTGTTACTTGCAGAAGCTGACTTTTTTAGACACCTGAGAAAAATCAATAACACTTTGGTTTAGCGAGGAAATAGAAGCAGAGAAATGTTATGTATGACGTTATATGGTCCAGTGAATCACTCAACTTACGGAGCAAGTAGAAGTAAGGGGAGTGTGTGTGTATGATACTTTACATTTCCTATCTCTATGGTCAGACCTTTGTCTAAAATTTCTCTGTATAATATATATGTATATATATGGTGTGTGTATAAATAAGCATTCCAGAAAATTCTCTCGGAATGTACGTTTTACTGTTTGATAAGTGTAGATGGCCCCTCCTCCATCAAGTCTACTGAAATTGGGCCATAAAGAACTAAGCCTCAGGAGGTTTCTCAGCGAGACCCCAGCCCCAAGGCCGGCTCTGGCCTGGCCTGCGTCCCTGCCTGGGGAGCCCTGTGGGCTGGCTCTGGTCCCATCTCCGGCCCCTCCTCACTTCCAGTCTCTCCTGTCACCTGGTGTCACTCCTGTCCACGGGGCTCTGCAGCCCTGCGCTGTGAGGAGCCTGGAAGCAGGTGCCCTCGTATGCACCTGCAGGGTGGAATCAGTATCCTGCAGCGCTGTCCGGTCAGCACCTGCGCAGTGTCCCTGTACCAGAGCACCAAGTGCTTTTCAGAGTGTGGCCACCTAGGGAGGCAGATGAGGCAGGGACAGGAACAAGTGCTAGTCAGCGTGCTCCGAGCAGACCTGCAGAGCCCGCTTTTAGAATCCCCCTTCTCTGGACATCAGTCCAGACCTTGCTGACCTTGCGGGAGGCTTCCCTGGAATGCCTGGGAAGTGCCCATTTTCCAGCTCAGCACACGAGCGAAAGTGTGTGCAAGGGTGCTGTCCATCTTTGGATCCCAAGTTCCTCACTTAGGGGCGGGGACCAGCAGGGTTCTGTGACCTACAGCCCGGTGCTGCTCCCAGTCACACAGCCAAGGCCCCTCCACCCTGGCTGCAGCGGTATCTGAAACCCATCTGGACACTTGGGATGTTCCTGACCTGGACACCTGGGCTTCTCGCCGGGCTCTGGAGAAGCAGCACTCGGTGCTGGGTGTATCCTGAGACTAGAGGGCCAGTTCCAGAGGGGTTAGAGACGCTTTCACCTGGCTCAGCACTGACCCCACAGGCTGTGTGCAGGGAGGCAGCTGGGTGGTGGCCCAGGAGGAGGCAGGTGAAGAGGAACAGTTTTACTTTCCGAGTCCAGTGTTGCCTAGAGAACCAGGAATCTGGGGCATGCAGGCCAAGTACAGTGAAGCCGGCAGAGCTATTTGGGCGGGACAGGAACATCGGCTCCCCTGTGGGAGATCACACAGGCGTATTACAGCTCAGGAGTGTTGTGTCCTAGTTCTTTCTCTAACTAAAAATCGAGAAGGAAGAACTCTGAAACATTAACGTGGCATTTCAAGTCTCTTTTTCTTTTTAATGAGGTACTGGGGATTGGGCTCAGGGTCTTCACCTCGAACTGTGTCCCTGGCCCATTTTTATTTTGAGACATCTGGCCATGTTGCTAAGTTGTTGAGCCTGAGCTTGAACTTGTAATCCTTCTGCCTCAGCCTCCCAGAGTGTTGGGATCACAGGTGAGTCTTTATATTAAGGAAAATTTTAAAAAATGACTTTTAAAATGGTTCTTTCCCAAAGTGATAAGAAAAGTACTTCCTATGTGCTAGACACGTTTTCAGAGTACTTTATAATTGACCAGTTTAGTCCTTTGAGGTAGGCGATATTATTTTTCCTGTTGTATACACGGGGAAACTAAGGCGGAGCCAATGAGGACCCTACCTGGGACTTCACTGGTATTTGGCAGGATGGGGTCGGACCCCGGGATCCATCCCCAAAGTCCCTCTCAGAATGGCCCTGGACGGCGCGTGCCATGGGTGGGGTGGCCTCTGGGCACTGGGGTCTTGAGACATGTCATGTCTGCACCGCTGTGGCCTGCACCTGCTCTAGGTCGGGACACAGGAGGCCCTGGGGCCTGGGCCCCTCTGCCTTGGCTTCTGTGGCTTGGTGATAACCATGCTGTGATGTTCTCATGTATAGGATCGGGCACAGAGCTCCCCACAAGCCAAGAGCGCCTTGGCCCCTGTGGTGTCTGGCGGGAAGGGCAGCAGGAAGGGGCTAGAAGAGGAAACTGTTCACTCCACTCTGCTCCTGTGTGCCCGCAACGCCACTGTGGCAACCACTGTCTGTTCCTGGTCTGCGGCAACAGCAGAGCCAGACCTGCAGCACCCAGTGAGCACAAATCACCCACAGGGCAGCGGATGTCACACGTCCCCAAGTGCCCCGTTGGCTCAGGGAGCCACAGCGGCACCCTCTCTGCTCTCCTTCCACAGACAGTGTCCCACACGCCTGGCATGCTCACCACTCCTGTGTGTGTGTGCGCACGTGCACACGCACACACGCACACACGCACAGGCGCTCCCCGGCATGGGAGCCTTCCCCACCCCCGCCCTCCTGCCACCTGTTTGCATTACGTCATTGGCTTCCCGGAGCCCGTGCACCAAAGGCCTTGCACAAAGTGGTTCTTCTTGCATTGTTTGTACTCAAAGAGCTGACACAGAGCCAGCTGATGTCATTGTGTGTCTTTGTGTGGCTGCCATGGCAACTGGGCAGGTGGGAGCCTCGCTGATGTCATGGGGAAGAGGGGGAGAAAAAGCTTTTCACAAAGCCCTGGGCTGTTTTCTGAGTGTGGGGTTTCCTGGCAGACCCCCTTTTTCTTTTCTAACTAGCTACTTTTAAGATAAACTGCAGCTCGAGTACCCTACTTAAGAAGCAAGTTTTTTCTTTTTTTCCCTCCTTAAGCGTATCTTCTGAGTTTGTCATTCTTTCCTCTTGTCTGATGTGGAAAAATATCACAACTGCCGTTTTCTGAAGAAAAGTGTGAATTAAGTCCCATCGCAGAATCGGTGTGGAGCTGTTTGCTTGGATCTTTGTGGTGGTGAAACTGAGCAGACTGACTCTTCAGTCCCCTCCGTGGGCTGTCGGATGGTGGCACAGGGTAGTTTTTATTTGTTTATTTTCTGAAGTAGCCACTAGTGAAGTTTTCTCAGGTTTTTCACATTTCTTTGGACTTGGAAAATTATTTTCGGGATCAAACTATTGTTTTTGAAGCAGAACAGAGTAATACTTGAGGGCAGCATTTAGTTGCAGGAATCAGTTAAAGCGAGTTTATAGCTCTTGTCTTTCTTTTCGGAAAGTGGAGGTTTGGGCTTTACCCGGTTTGGTGAGGGGAAGGACTGTGGCACTGCCCTTGGGTCCCTCACTGTCCCACGGGAGGGCGTCTGTGGGCTCCGCCCACGGGCAGGGGCAATGCAGGCCCAGCTTGGGAGGTTAGGAGGAAGAGACTTGGAGGAGCAGACAGCGCAGCTCCTCAGGCTAATCCTCCGTGTGTAACAAATGTCAAAGGAAGACAGTCAACTAAATTCCTGTTCCTGTTTGCGTAGTCCTTTGTTTTCTGGGGGGTGTTTTGAACTAGCTTTGTTTTTGTGTATTATCATTACAAAGAGTATTCTCTTATCTCGCATACATGTTTTGCAACTGCTCTTTAATGCCTATGTAATATTCCATGGAGTGAATAATAACATTTGTTTTGTAGAACTCTCACTTGGGCTTTTTCTTGGCCTTTCCATTAAACAGAAAATACCATGGCTAGCATCTCCCCTTGTCTGGCTGTGTTTTCCCTCATGTTCACCCCCACAAGCGAGATTGTACTTGCTCAGGGTGGAGAGAGAGGGTGAGTTTGTGCTTGAAAATGGGGAGTCGGGCCCAGCTGAGTCTGGGCACAGCAGGCCTGGGACTCAAGGGTTCCCTGTGGCTGGCTTTCCCTGACCTCCGTGGGCCACACAGAGGGCAGAAGCTGCTCTCAGACCCCACGCCCCTGGAAGGTGAGATGGAAACCCTGTACAGGATCCCTCAGGACCCCAGTGGGCCGCTCCAGCCATCTCTGTGTGCTGGCGCCTTTGCACAATGGCCTTCTTGTGGAGCCACTGTGCACCCCTGGAGCTGAGCATAACCCTTCACACACTCTCACGTGCCCCAAGGAAGATGTCCCTGGCCTCACTCTGATAGATGGGGAAACTGAGGCAAGGAGCGATGTGCTTGCTAAGGGCTGGGTGTGCTCTCTTCTGGGTCAGATCAGCTGAATGCAGGCCACAGGTCTGTGACAGAGGCCGCTCCCCTGCTTCCTCTGCCCTTGTGCAGGGTCTCTGCAGGCATCCTGGCAGAAGGCCCTTCCAGGCAGGTGGGCGGCCCGATGCTGGGGGAGGGGCTACTTCTGCCTCCTGGCGCAGCTGGTCCGAGGACATATTCTCAGCTGGCAGCAGTGGTGTTCTCTGTAATCGCAAAGTTCTGGGAGGCTGAGTCAGGAGGGTCACAAGTTGGAGACCAGCCTGGGCAACTTAGCAAGAGCCAAAAGCAATCTCAAAATAAAATTTTACAAAGGGTTGGGGTTGGAGCTCAGGGGAAGGCCCTGCGTTCAACTCCCAGTACAGAAAAGAAGTGTGTTCTGAAGCCCTCCACGCAGGGAAGGGAGGCTGGTCCTGGGGCCCAGGCGGTCCCGGTGTCCATCCTGGTTTCGGATGTCTAGGAACTCCCTGTCCTCGACAAGCAGCGGCACCCTTCCCCACGAGCTCTCGATGATCACCGTGGCTTTCTGTCTGCCGCAGGAGGGCTCAGCAGCTTCAGGCAGAACCATGAGAACTTGTGCGACAGCTCCCTGCAGCTGCAGGAGTGTCAGGAGGCCGGGGCCGCGGGGCCCAGCGCGCTCCCTCAGCCCGTGCCCAGCACGCCCGACATCGAGAGCGCGGAGCTCACGCCCATCCTGCCGTTCCTCTTCCTGGGCAACGAGCAGGACGCGCAGGACCTGGACACCATGCGGCGGCTCAACATCGGCTATGTGATCAACGTCACCACGCACCTGCCGCTCTACCACTACGAGCAGGGGCTGCTCCGCTACAAGCGCCTGCCCGCCACGGACAGCAACAGACAGAACCTGCGGCAGTACTTCGAGGAGGCCTTCGAGTTCATCGGTGAGTGGCCGGGCCGCCTCGGGGGCCTGGGTGTGCGCCGGCCGGGGGCTTCCCGGGTCCTGGCTGCTGGGACATTCAGGGCGGAGGCTCGCAGGAGTGGGCCGTGTGGCTGTGCCCCTCCCTGCCGGCACCTGCTCCACCCAGTCCAGGGCTGCTTCGCTGGGTAGCCTGAGCTGCCCTCCCTGTGCCTCTTCCTGGAGGTCGAGGAAGAGGCCGCCTTTGCTGAGGCTGGTCCTGAAGGTTGGAGGGGGTGTTTGTTTTTTAAAACATTTGCCTCTGTTAGTCCAGGTTCGCAGTCCAGGAGGATCGTGCTCATCGTGGGGAGCTGGTGCAGGGACAGACACAGCAGCGGTCTCTTTGTGTCTGGCCCATCTTAGTCCCCTTCCCCTTCGAGAGAGCTCTGTCTCCCTGTTTCCTACGATGTCTCTTTTATTTTGCTCTTTAGTTCTGTTTTGGGTTTCTCATGGCAGAGACTCACGCGATGCTTGAGCTCGGGTTCTGATGTACTTCACTTCACATCGTGTTCGAGGACCAGCGTTTCCCACAGTGGCTGCAGCCTGTGCTCATGTTTTGTGTGTGTGTACCCCACTCCCCTGCCGCCTGTCTGCTCACAGACATCTGGGCCGCTCCCGAGACTGGGCCGCTGTGAGTCAAGGCAGACACACACGGACCACTGTGGAGTGAGGTCTTTCCTCTCCGGAAGCCTTTTCAGTCTACAGGTCACGGGGCCAGAGCCTCCTCGTGCCCTGTGTTGTTGTAGGGCAGCAAGTGCGGGGGACACTTCCTTCTCCTTCTAGCTGCTGCTTCTTGGGTTCTTAAACACTGCCTAACAGAAAGCAGCTAGCGATGTGGGTGTGAATTGGAGGAGATTTCCTCGGCAGTCTCTCCCTCCCTCCTCCCTCCTCTCTCCCTCCCTCCTCCCTCTCCTCCCCTCCCCTCCCCTTTCCTTTCCT